TATTTTCTTATCTGAACAACGATTTCTTCTTTTTTGATTCAGCAGGATGTCATGATCAGATTGTTATATTTGCAACCAGCTTGGGGAAGTTGTCAGGTATCATCTCAGCAGTCACTACATTTTCTTCTCGAGTGTCGCTCTATTGCTTTGACAGAGAAAGACGCCAAGTTCATCTACTCAAGACGCAATGAATCATCTGTGTTTGAGTGTTCTCCTTTCAGAGTGTCTGCAAATGGTTGACCTCCATGGAAGTCAAGCCCTCCTTCCGACGCGTTTTCTTAGTGTTTAGCTGTGTCCTTGTTTGGAGGACAGATTTGGTATTAACTACAGAGAATGGATGTACGCCCTCATAACGATGCCATTTAGGGCAAAGTGTGTTTGTGCTGCATACTGACGTGATGTGTGGGATGTGCAAGTTGTCTTTTGTTAAATACTGGAATTACGACTGTTTGTGTATGTCAAGAGATTCTCCAAGACTGAGGAATTTCTCTTCAACAGCAAAGGGTGAAAAAACAAAATATGATTTACAGCTGTTTCTTTTCGACTTTACGGTGTACATTCACCACATTCAGGAACGTCAGAGTGCAGATTCATCAAGAGAAACAAGCCAACAAAGATCATAGTACTGCACGCAACATGCACAAAAATGAAAAGAACCACATCTGTATCTTGACAGCAAATGAGGAGATTCACCATGCACAAGAAGGCTGAAAAAAGCGTCCTTTTGAGAGGCAGAAATCTTGGGCAGAAGCAGACGGCTTCATTTTCTGTTAGAACTCTGCTAACCCTAATGGAGGTTTTCCAACAGACAATAATCTATATTATAACATAGTTTAATGTGGATGTTAATTAAAGGCTAAAGATTGGTTTGTTCAGGGTTCATGTTTGTGGCAGATCTCATTATAGATGCGCTAACATCTCACACCAAGTGAATCAATGCAATACCACATGAAAGAAAATAAATAAGAAATTAGGCGACTGTTAAATTGCAACAGCAGTGATTGGTCTGTGACTGCCCTGTCAGAATTCAGAGCTAAAATTACCAGCAAGAGAAATGCTGCGATCAAATACATATAATTGTCTGCATGTGAAGAGGCTTCTGCACAAGTGCATGTGGTTTTTAAAGCAACACTATGTAGGCATTTGAGTCATAAGACACTTAGTGCTGTTACACCTACCCCTCCTAGACAACATGCATCTGTTTACAAGCAGAGGGTTTGAAGCCAACAAAGTCAATGTGAGGACCCAAACAACCTTGTTGGCTGACAAGGTTCAGTAATATTACTGGATTTTGCGCAAATATGACTCTGCGGGCGTCTTCAGCTCATTGTTTTCAAACTGTTAGCATGTGGAGTATGTGTAAGTGTATCCAACTGTTACCTTGATGTCTATGTGCTGTGGCTAAAATCGCTTTTTTGGGAGATGGTCATTTGTAGCATGCTAGTTGGGATAAGTTTGCAAGGTTCCAATTGACGAGAAGGATAACTTTTTTTGGCATAAGATGGTTTAATTGACTTACTTGTATCAAATCTGAGACATAACTTGGGTTAGACGACTTTCTGCACACGGTAAAGCTGCAAAACATGTGACAACCATGACACAGATAACGACACAGCCTAATGTTACGTCTCAATCTGTTATGAATAACATCTGCAGGGATCTACTCTCCCTCCCTCTTAGCCTCTCAGACGTTTTATGAAACCGTACAGAGACATGCAGGATAACTGGCTTCTAATCATGACTGAAGGCTTGTTAGTTAACAAGGGTACACAAGCTTTCACGATGACCTCGGCCCACTGACCGTGAGTTATAAAGCGCAGTAAACAGGCGATCAGGCTGCGGAGTGGACAAAGGAGAGATGTCATTCTCCCTGTTGGAGATGTTTGTGTTATGGTTTGGTGTTTTTCTAGTTTGGTTTTTCAGTGTTTAGTGTTTCTTCTTGTTCTCGTGTGTTTTGTTCATTCTTGAGTTCTGTGTGTTTTTAGTGTTTCATGATTTAGTTTGTAGTTGTCCTGTGTTTCTTGTATTCCTGTCTGTGTGATTGCCCTGATTGTCCTCACCTGTGTCTTGTTAGTCTCACCTGTGTTTGATTACCCCTGTGTCTATTTAGTCTGTGTTTCTTCCCTCCTGTGTGAGTTCATTGTATGTTGCAGGTTGCAGGTTGCAGGTTGCAGGTTGCAGGTTGCAGGTTGCAGGTTGCAGGTTGCAGGTTGCAGGTTGCAGGTTGCAGGTTGCAGGTTGCAGGTGGTTTGTGGTCAGTCAGTCTGCTCGTGTCTCTGGTGCTTCCTCGTGGCTACTTGTTTTTTCGTGTTTTGGAATTTTCGTCGTTATTTTAAATAAATAGTTTTTTGTTTTGGTCCACCTCCCTTGTTTCACACACCACAGTTCGTAACATGTTTGTGCTTTTAAATCGATCTTTGAAATAACTTGTAGGCTATAGGTTTCAAAGTATGGCCTACAACTGATTCATCAGAGATGTAGTTTCATAAAATGTGGTTATCGTGTTAATCAACGGCTGTACTGTACATCATTAATATGATAAAAATGTAGATAAATTTTTTTAAGACTCACCCCACATTAGCAGGTCGGGCTTATTTTTGTTTTCATTATCCCTCTGTCTTTAAATCCCCGCTGTCACACTCATCCATCAAAAAGTCAGACGGAAAGATAGTTTTGCAAAGCTGCAAAAGCCAAAAATAAACACGTAATCCTTTTTTTCAGAAGAGAGAAAAGATTTGAAGATGTGTTGGAGTGCCGTAATTCATGTCATTTATTGACTGCCAAAACATTACAAGCCTGCTCAGCTATACCCTCGGGGGGCTTGTTTGCAACCTACAACAGACTCTCAACAGCAGAAGAAGGAAAGACAGATCTTGCTTTGCAAGAGAAGTGTTCAAGGATTATCTTACACAAACAACCCAGCTTTCACACTTTGGCTGTGTTTAGGGGTTTTATTGTCCAGAATAGCTCTGAGACAACTTTGGCTTTAAAAATTTTTCTTTCCAGTCATCAAATTCAACACGTCGTATGATTGCACCGGATTATCAGGTGTTATAGAAAGGTCTCTAAAAATGCTCCCTTCCACATTTCAGATAATGATCTTATCGATTTAAGTCTACTATATAGTTACAGATTGATGCAGCTTTAATTCTTCAAATGTTCTGTACTTTTCATTCTGCAAAACTTAGTTACAGAGTCATGTAAGATGGCCGTCATTGATTTATTTTAGAGCATTGACATGTAGACGATTTAAGGGACAGGGGCTCAATTGGAAAAAAAAGGGCGCTCATTGCATACACAGTTTTCATCATTACTCCAATGTTGAGGTGGTTTCTGAAGGACTGCTTTGGAAGCCTGTTTGTTGCGGTTGTCATATTTGGAAAATGCTGTCTCGATCAAACTTTTGTTCAAAAACCTTCATGTCACTTCCTGCATTTGGTAGCCGTCAAGATTCTGTCGTTTGTAAATTTGATTTGCTGACTGGTAAAAGTGTTCTGCCACTTGTTAAATTTGTCTCAGTGCTTGTAAAAGTGTTTCACATCTTGTAATTTTGCTTTGCACTTCCCAGCCACCGTAGTTGCAACTCCAACAACCACCCATGGTCACTGTCTAAAACGTAACACCGGCAAGAACTTTGATGTTTTCAGCGATTTAAAGAGAGTCCCATGTGCTGTATGAGGGGCATAAAACTTGCAAGTGTATCTTAATATCTGTTGTTTTGTGCTTATCAGGTGGTGTAAACATCTGTCATTTTGAAAAGATGGATATTTCTCAAGCTCCCGCTGCAGCTGCACACTGTGTTCGATGGTGGCCGCTACTTTCTGAAGCCTCCAAGCCTCAGCGCCAATCACATGTGAGAAAGCTACAAATTGGTTACCGCATAAAAAATACAAATGAAATGTGCATCCTATACACCGAGTTTTAGGTTATTTGAAGCCTATGTGGTACTTTATTTTTTTAAAGTAACAATCCAAAATAAGGAGCTGGATTTAGTCAGTGGAGCATGTGAGGTGGATTGGAAAACCAGACCTATTCTACAGGGCTGCTGCACAATATGACAACAGAAAATCACTCAGTTTTGTTCTGCTTTCTTACCACCAGAGTGGGGCCAAAAATTGCACAGAGCCATCTGCATAACAAACACACACACCCAGCTGAGCCGCACCAGGTGGGGGAAAATCCAGTTTGGATGACAAAGATTCCGAACGAGCGGAAATGCATTTTTTGTTTTAATGATACTAGTTTACCTTTCCCTTATTGTAGGAATTAGTTACTAACAAGAGGACAGGTGTTGACTAGCCTGAAGGGAAAAATGCCACCACTAATTCATCATTGAAGGTCTATGTGAGCGTGTCTGCTCTAAAAGCTTTCAGAGAAATGCATGAAGAATGAGAGGCTGGATATTGTAGGCGGGGAGAAAACGAGAAATGAGACATTTGACACACAAGTAATCAGACTTTATTAATGCCTACAGTATTTCCCCCTGACTGGCCAAAGTCACTGCCTGCCTATGTGACCCACAGAGTGTAAATAACATCAGTCTATGATGTAAACATAAACAGAGACAGAGAAGATTTAGGCTACACCACAGGACATCTCCCAGGTCATCATTCCAGGATCACTTTATTTTCATGGCAAATAAAAAAAATGATAGCTGTCTGAGGCTCAAGCCAAAAGCACCTGAATGCATCAGTGCACTGATATGAAAAATAATATGTGGAGGAGCTACTACGGTATCTGCAGGGCTTACACTCTCTCTTGGAGATTCAACGGAGACAAAAGAGCATCCAATGAATATAAATTGATCAGGATGGCCTTGCACCTTGGACTTCCCTCTGCTGCTGCTGCTGCTGCTGCAGAGCCTCTTGTAGATACGTAACTCCTCCCACACAGCGACCGTCGTGCTCCCTCTCCCGCCCACTGCTCTGCCCGCTGCACCTGTGCTGCTCATGCGTCAGCTGATGATGGAAACTGAATCTGTCGTCCTTTCTCTAAGACTGCAGAACGAGTCGACTCACTGTGTAGTGCCGGCAGCTTTTTCCTCCTGCGGACGCTCAACTGTACGGACAACATCTGCACGCGAACTAACTTTTTGGTGATATTTTACGCACGAGGGGGGTTTTCCCATACTTGCGAAGAGCCGAGACATTTTACTGCTACCTATCCTTTTTTTCCAACACAAAAACTTCCAAGAGGTACCATGCAACTTTATGTTGCTGTGATGTTCGTTTATGGAGTGACGGGTAAGTTCAGAAACTTCTCCTGTGGGAAAGCTCAATTTGTTGTATTTTAAATGCTGCCAAGAAAAAACATCTGTCAGTCAAATCTGCTCTCATTGCTTGATTAAAAAAAAAAAAAAGACATCGCTCCTATAGCGAGGAGGCTGTTGGAGCAATTTGAATTCAGCACCTATGACTTTGTGACGTGAAATATATATTTTTTGAAGGATGCACTATATCAGCAGGATTGTTTTTGTACAGTATATTCCTTATATTTGAATTACTACAGACTGTGGGACTTGGAGCTCTATTAATGCTTAAACAGCAGTATTTATGGCACGCGATGCAATAACTCCCTCAATGTTGTGAAATTCTGTGGAAGTGGAAGAGATTGCAATTAGTTGGAGGAATCTCATGTCTAGTGTATAAAAATATACGTGTGTGTGTGTGTGTGAGGATGCTCAGATAAGCTGGGAATCGTATTTCAGTGCAAGATTAATTGTCTTTTTGAAGCTCTTTTTTACAAAGTGATTGCATTGTATGAGCAGTTCAAAACCTCATTCCATCCCTCACTGATGGAGCTGTTATCAGTCAGTGTCCAGCTGTTCTGCGCAGCATACTGTGTCGAGGGCAGTTGTTGAGGGATGTCCAGTTTAAAGGAGAAGCCTGTGTGTAGTGTTGTATTCACACTGCCAATTTTGTGTTGACTAAAAATACCCAAATTATTTTCTGTGCCATAAAGACTCACCAGGATTGCTGCTGTGAGGTCAAAAATATTGCTTTCAATATTCCACAATAATCCAGCGAGTGTATTTCTGTTCCTGCACAGATGGGCAGACAGATATAGATGGTCTATTATTTTGTAAATGTCACATTTGTTTCCACAGTCTGCTCAGAATCTAAGATAAATTAGACATTACAATGAAACTACATTAAAGACATCTGGTACTTTCCCATTTAACCACTCAGCTAGCGAGTGCACACATTAACAGACGCACTGATGTGTTTGGTTTGCAGGATGCTTTAACAGATGGGACAAACCTTCTGATAGAATGGTTAATGGACTTGAGCTTGTACAGCGCTTTCTGATCTTCTGCCTACTCAAAGTACTTTCACGCCGCAGGTCACACCTACACATGTGAACTCTCAATCATTATTAACTAATGCATTCATACACATTCATACGCAGCTGATGAAGCAGTGGGAGCAACTTGGGGTGCAAAGTGTCTTGCACATCAGACATGTGGCTGCAGGAGCTGGGGATCAAACCCCTGACATCTGGTTGAGAGACGAGTGTGACAGGTGACCAGTGTGATCTTTGTGCACGTAATGAAGCTGCTTTGTTCTCTTTTCTCACAGATTGTTCTCATCCACTCTTTAGTTTATACCACAATTGAATCAAATAACATGCAGAATTCAGAAAAAGGCAAAAACTGGCTATCCGTTGTGCACCATTTTCACATAATGTGCACATTTTCAGACCAAATCAAGCATTTGCATTTCAGCTGTTGCAGCAATGGATGTATGTATTTATCCAGAAAAGGGCAAAGTTTAAAATCCCCAGCAGAAACTCTGCAGAGAAGAAGTCATCAGAGATCGTAACATGTTTGCAGCCTGGGGATCTGATGTTTACTTTGAACTTTTTCTGGGTTTAATTGCAAACTTTGCTCAAGCTGAAGACCGGTTTAGCTCGGTGCATCAAGTTTTTCTCAGTGTTTGGAGTTTGATTTTAACCGAGGCAGCCTTGATCAACACTTCAATACTGCATTGAGCGCCTGTTAAACTGACACAGGCGCTGGGCAGGAAGTTAATCTGTTGCTCTGTTTGCCTTCAAAGAAGCTACAGAGAGAGAAAGAAACTGGCCCTCGCTGTGTGATTCAGTATGAGAAGGTGTCTCCTGCTGGAAGAACCAAACAATAAAGACTCTCTTTGTATGTTGTCACAATCAACAGATGATAGTCTTTTTCTTCAGCAGCTCACAGATCAATGAATCAAAGATCTGTCGGACCATGAAGTAGACGGCTGGCTAACCATGTCTGTGGTTTTTGCGATCCCCCCCACGGCACTGCTGGTTAGTCGGTCCTTATCAGCTTCTGTTATCGGCTGAGTCTGCAATGAATCAGCGCTGGAGGCAGTCAGTGAGAGAGAGCTGTCCGTGTGTCCGTCCAGCCTGCGCAAATCAGTGTTCCCAATTAGTCTGCTCACTCTTCTGTTTTCCCCTTCTTCTCTTAAAGCAAACCATGTAAGGCTGACAATGTGAGCAAACTTTAATTGTACAGATTGAACCTTTTAGGAGACCAACTTTTGTTTATGATGTAAAGACAGACTTTTGAATATTCATGATGATATCCATTTAGGCAAAGAAGGTTTTCCAAGGAGGAGTACTTTAGAAAAGTTCTTTGGCATATATATGCGGGTAAGAAGTACATTTTTCCTCTCATGCAGGCTCAAAAATCATCAATTAGCTCGCTATAAGATGTTGGCAAAGACAGTTTACAGAATGAGTGGCATTTAATTAGCTGTTTTGATGGTTTGTTCAGTCTGTATAGAGGCGGGACTGTGCTGGAAGGTACCAGATGTCTTCTGTTTTTTGTTTGTAGTCCATGCATGGTCCTTTAAATGTCAGCCAGCAATGACTGTATACAGGTCAAAACTGCTTTCCCCCCCACATGCTTTCATCTGACATTGAGTTATCTTAAATTAATCTCCATCAACAGATATATATGCCTGCAAGTGAAGCTAATAATCTAATTTTAGACGTTTTGGTTTCCCAAGTTACTAGTCAGACTAAGAACACTTCGATGCACCAAAAAGGAAGTCTTGGCCAAAAGCCCCCGAAACGCTGGCTACAACTAAAGCCCCAAAAAGGTGCCAGAGATTATTTCCAATATCTAATGGGTTCCCAGATTGAATTTTAACCCAAAGTGCTACACTGGGTTTTTACTGATGCACTATATTTGATGCTGACCAAACCAGAGTTGATCAAACTGCCAACCCTGTGATCAACCGCTGATCCACAGCATCCGATTTTTCTTCTTCAACTCTTGATAGTGAAAGTAACGAGTTAGGAGTGGACGCCTTTGTGCCACTGTGAGACAACTCCCCTGCTGAGAAGATTCAACTGTGATTAGCAAGCATTTTGAGGAAACCAAAACAAAAGGGACTTTTTTTTAAGAACAGCTGTGGTTCTGTTCATAACAGATCTGCAGTCTTAACTAGGGCTGGGAATCTATCGGTGTCTCATGATTCGATTTTGATTCTTGGGTTCACGATTCGATTGACTCGATATATTTTCCTTTCTAAACGATTCTGGATTCATGGATTCAAAGTCTATTTTTGATATAGTCCATACTTCAGTATCTACTCCAGTCATCTAGGAGACCGGCTGAGTTTCTTGCTGCTCCATTTGGTTTTCTACTCAGTTAAAGAGCTAGCATTAGCATTTAGCAGGGAGTGACTGATTAGCCAAAATATAAGATTTTTGGAAGCTATGAATCTATTTAAAATCTCAGAAGATAAGAATCTCGATTTTTACTTAAATCCATTTTTTTTCTCACCTCTAGTCTTAACTTCAGCATTTAAAGTCATGGTCACATTTGAGAGGATGTTGTACAGATTTTAAATTGAACATTGTCTATGTTTCAGCTGTTGGTTTTTGTAGTAGTTGAGTCACTCTTTATTAAAAGTGTCAACAGATTGCTCGAGCGTACTTAATCCCTGAATTTTCAGAGCTCTGACGACTGAATTAATTTTGTCCTTGGTTCTGAAGCAGGCATTGTAATCTCCACTCACTGGAGAGCTTCTTCCTCTGAGATAATTGCATGTTTGCCAAAGGTTTAAACATCTCCAAGGAACACTGATTGATTTTGCGTTTGTTTTAGGAAAACAGTTCAAGCCTCTTTCCATCCAGCTTGGTGTCGTGGCTGTGATTTATCAGCCGTGGCAGGCGGGTATGTCACAGTCAAGTGCCGGCACTTACCGGTAACCTCATGATTGCAGACAAGGTGACATTTAGAGATCTGAAATTTTTGGGGGCAGCTGTGGCTCCGTGGTAGAGTTGCTCTTCTTTCATCCAGAAGGTTGGGGTTTTGATCCCCATCTCCTGCAATCACATGTCGAAGAGTCCTTGTACAAGACACTGAACCCCTCATTTCTCATTTCCCCTCATGGATGTGTATGAATGGGATTAGTTACTTCTGATGGTCTCTCTACACAGCAGCCTCCGTCATCAGGGTGTGAATGTGTAGGTGTGACCTGTGGTGTAGAAGAGCTTTGAGTAGTAAGAAGACTAGAAAAGACATATAAGATAAGATATACTTTATTCATCCCAGCAGGGAAATTTAGGTGTTCCAGCAGCCAGCATACATACAAACACACAACACAACACATATATACATCCATACAAAAAAACATGAGCCCACAATATAATATATACAAGCTCAAGTCCATTTATCATTTAATGTTTCACTTATTTTTGACATTTTATAGCATGTACATTCAGTGGTCAAATGATCTTTATTCCTGGTTTTAAAAACATCCCAGTTGATCTAATTCTCTAGTTTAATGTGACCCTGTAGCTCAGACTGGGATGAAGGAGCAAAAATATGAAAAGCACTTTAACCAGACAGACAATCAGAGGTCAGACGTACATGACAGTCCATCCAGGAAGTTGCGATGTTGCGATCGCATTGATTAACGCAAATTCAACCAGTCCCCGCAAATTCTGGACGACCTCGCAATTTTGTCCAATCAACGCAACTCGATTGCAAGTGCTGAAAGAAGCAAGGCGAGTTAAATAAATAAGCATGGATAGAGCTTGTCTGATTGCGAAACAAACGGTGTGTGTGTGTGTGTGTGTGTGTGTGTGTGTGTGTGTGTGTGCGTGTGTGTGCGCGCGCTCGTGCGTGTGTGTGCGTTTGTGTATTCATGAAAGTAGTTGGGAAGATAAAGTCGTAAAAAGCTTAAGGCAACATATTCATTTGGATGTGTAATGAAATCAGATGAAGAGTGTGAATGTGTGTGTGTGTGTGTGTGTGTGCGTGAAAGAGAGAGAGACATCACTGAGTGAGGCAGAGGAATTTATAACTTCCCAAAGCTAATGGCTCTGCTCAGGTTAAAAATAGAGGCATCACTCAATCACATCGAAGTGTGTGTAAGAAAATAGTTTAATAATAAAAAACTAGATTTTTTTACATAAAAAAATCGCAACTAGTGTCGCAATTTTCGCTTGCTGCCGCAATTTAATAGCAAAAAAACGTCTAAAAACATCACAACTTGCATTGCAATTTTCTTGAAAAGCTGCCGCGATCAGTCATTTTAGGCCGCAACAATCCCCAAAAAAGTCCACGAAATCCTGGAGGGCCTGACATGATGAGCCTATGAGACCAACGGTCAAAGCTCCTGGCAGGTTTAGGAGTCAGCACAGAACATAGATAAGAAGGCAGATTATGTTCCGTCCTTCAGTTGTACACGCCTAATATCTCAGATGTTATGGTGTGTCAAATGGCAATGCAGCATGTTCCACTGAGTCCACCTTTTCAGTGAAGATGAGGCAGCATACCAAGAATATAACCTTCGTTTATCACTGACTTTCACATGTTTGAATGTGAGGAAATCTGTGACTCCTAAGAGGAGAAGGTATAGATCAAGGATGGATTGACTGTGATTGTGAGAGATCTGAATTTAATACTTAAACACTTTTCATAAGACCCATGCATGGATAGAAACCCCTTAATCAAACTGCTCTGATTGCGTTTTTGTTTGTGTTGTTCTTGGGCTTCAAGCATGGCTGAGCCTGTTGAGTGTTCATTATAAGGATTTCATTAAGGGGCCTCAAGGAACAAGGGTCAGAATTACCTGAGGTGATAACTGTGTGCTGTTTGACATGATGACTCATCCACATGATATGTATTACGGGTAAATTTACATGCAGTGTGAAGATACGAGCATAATAAAGATCACTAGCATTAGCATGCTAACACAACAATGCAGCACGAGTTGTTTTGGTTTCATGCTGGTGCTCAAGGGCGACATCTGCTGGATCAAAAAATCACATATAAAGCCTTTAAGGTTTATTTTTTGGCTTTTTATGTTTTTATTGTAGAGATAGGTCAGTGGATAAAGAGGGGAATGACATGCAGGAAAGAAGCCACAGGTCGGATTCAAACCCAGGTCCGCCCGCTTTGTGTACTACAGCCTCTGTACATGAGGTGCACCGACTAACCACTACGCTACCCGCACGCCAAGCTAGTTTAGCAATTTAGTTATTTAAACTAGGCTGTAAACATGCTAAATTATTCTGTAAAACAGGCTTTTAGAATGGGTGTGTATGTGACTTCCTTTGCTTCTGCAGCCAGCCTCTAGTGGACACTCTAAGAACTGCAGGATTTTGCACTTCTGCAGCAGCTTCATTTTTCAGCATTTTTCAGCTTGGTCACTTCCCAATCTCTTTCCTCATGTCCTTATCCTCTCTCACCTGCTGTGTACTACTGATAAAAATCCCTCCAACATGCTTCAATAGTTTTCATTCCTGGATATGAGTTCTTTCCTTTCTATAATCAGGAATCACTCCTGAACAACGAGGCATGTCCCCTAAATCCCCTAAAGCCTCCTCTCTCTCCGTGGTTGATTTGTAATTGTTGTAATCAGTTAGGACTGGAGGACTTGATTCGAATAGACGAGGAAGATGTGGATGTTTTTGCAGCCAGGTGGTTGCCTTAAAGTCTGTTGTTTAATTGGATTATATCTGTATGCATGCTCCGAATACAAAGATGCACCGCAAGAGTAATTATATCTTTATAAAGATTAGGAGAAATGTGGTACTTTGATTAGGAAATGCTCTAACTCTAACTTCAGACAAATTGCATAACCGAAGGCCCAAACAGGTCAGAGATGTATTTTTGATTGGATTAAATCTTTACAGCAAAGTGCTTTAGGACACAGAGGTCATGCAGATATCAGATGTTGGAGCTCCTTTCAGAGTTTTAAGCTGGATAATGTTTTTTTTTTTTATTAACTAGATTTGTATTTGTTGCATCCAAATGATTTTAGATATGATTTGAGCGCCCCAGCGTCCTCTTTTTTTCACTCCCACACAGATCATTCCTCTTCACTTTTCTTCTGTAACTTTCATTGACACACTTTGGTTTTCACAGCGATAATGCACAGGTAGCAGCCAATAGAAATGGAGTGCTCCCCCCTTAGGGAGGTTTTTGATGCAATGCTGTGATTTAAGGTTTTTCAGCCCTTGGGGGGGCCCCCCTACTGGCCTAGTGCCCCAAGCGGTTGCCTGCCTTGCCTGTTGACAAGTAGCGTCTCTAGATCTGCTGCAGGTTTTCTTCTAAATACTAATCATTAATGTTTCAGGGTCAGTTTCTAGATGCATCAATCGTGTGCATCAGAATCACACAAGCCACCAAAACAGAAAGAGATAAATGTTGTTTTGGTGGTGATGCTCTGTGACCTTGACTCGTGATAATCTATTCTTTCTTACCTTTGTATCTTTTCTCTTATTTTGTGTTTTATGGAAACCTTGTGCAATATGGGTAATGTGCATGCAATATATGTTGTTGTTGTGGTGGCACTAGTATGGGCTTCTGTTTACAGGTGGATTGTGTCGGTTTCTATTGTTCCTATTTACTGATTCTTCCATGTGTGGAAGCAGCTGAACGTTTGCAGCACTTTAAGTCCAAGTCAAGGTAAACTGATTTCAGCAACTAGGAAGATTCAAAGTACAAGCATCATGACAAAGAGAGAAAGAAACACTATTCAACTATCACTATTCAATTAAACATGAACATATGTTTAGAAAAAAATATCCAGAAGAAATACAGAAAAATTATATTAAGCAGAAAAAAAAAATTAAAATAGAAAATATAGTTATGTTGTGCTGGCGTCCCCAGCTTCAGAGTCTTATCTTCCTGATGGACACAGGTGCCTGGGAAACCCCACCCCAGGGGTTCTGTGGTGAAATCCACCCACAGTCATTACAGTTCATGACATCAATTTGTAATCATCCCACCACTACCACAACAACTACCACCACCATCCGCACCAGCTCAGGATCGCTTCTCTCTGACATCTCTCCATTAGTGCATGTTCATAGGATCCTGTTTGTGCATGTGTGTGTGTGTGTTTCAGTGTGTGCAGCATGTCTCAACAACAGAGTGTAAAATTACAATTCCCTCCAAATCCCTCGCTGGATTCACAAAGTAAATCTGAATCTTATATACTGACATGATCAATGTCATCGTTTAGTAAGAACTTGCAAACAAACTTTAATCGGCAACATTTCTGTTCTAAACCTTCATCAGTCAAACAGTCCTCATTTAGCATGAAGTCACACTGATAAGTGCACCATGTAGGACGAGAAGAAGCTCGGCTCTTTTCTTAATTGGAGTTTCAGTGCAGGGGATGCCAGACGTGGTCTGATGTGCTGTCTGCAGCTCGCTTGTGGATCCGCTCTATTCTGAAGTTGAAGCGTGATAAGGCAGACTCCCTGTGGCAGATTAACAAGCAATTTAGAAGTCAAGGCAGGATGAGAAGAGGGTGGAATAATTTGATCTCCCAGCAGCTTGCATGGCAAGCATTTTTTTTTTCTTCCAGGCTGGACTGTTTGTTCTATGTCGGTGGATAATTAAGAGTCCAAAGTTAACAAAAACACGCCCATACAAGAATATTTGAGAAAGAAAATACATCCACTCAACATGGAGAGCTCCCTGGACTCAGAATAAGTCGTGTTTGGACCATGTCATACAAAAGATCCTCAAAACTTTGACAAGGGCCCTCGATGTATCTCTGATGAAAGGTGAGAGTCATACATATTCACAGGGTATTCATTATGCTGGATGTTCTTGCTTTGTTTGCAGCACTCAATATGACAGAGGAGAGGGGCTCCTGCCCACTTGGATATTTCCCGTGTGGCAACCTGACCGTGTGCCTCCCTCAGCTCCTGCACTGCAACGGCATCAATGACTGTGGGAACCAGGCGGACGAGGAGAACTGCGGTGAGTCATCGTTTCCACTCGAGCTGATGTTCATTTCACCTGCTGCTTTAAAAACTTGACATCTGATCTGCTCTGCGGGCCACGCAGATATTAGCAGACGCCTACATAGACATAATCGAAGCTTTTTACTGGCCTAATCAAATCAGACGAATGAACTCAACCCTGCATTGCATGTACAGTATGTGCACACTGCATGCTGTACACAATAGGCAGGCGACAAATAAGGAGAAACCGCACTAATGGGTGAAAGCATGGATACTACAGCGGCATGCTCAAGGGGCTTTACAGAACCTGTGAGGAGGCTGGAGGGAAATTAAACCTCCGAACAGCCAATCAGAGAGAAAAAAAAGTCTGACAGGTGCCGACGGGAAGCGACAGATCGACGACCGAAGGGCCAACAAGGACCGACGATCTCCTCGGTGTGTCAGGGCCTTAAAGGTCCCATATTTGCTTTTCTGGTTTTATCTGCTCTTTAGTGTGTTTTCCAAGTGTCCTGTGCATGTTTAGACATCTATGTGCAAAAATTCAAAGTCTGCGGAAACGCGGCTTCTCCTACGTCCTCCTGTTAGCTGTAGCATTAGCTGCATGTAACGCTCGGTTCTAGCCCCCCTCGAAAAAAATTGTCAGTGTGACGCCATTGTCAGTGTGAGATCACTGATCTAAGCCCATTGGCTCGTTGTGGCGCCCAGTCATGTTGCACGCCCGTTAACTTCTGTAGCACGCCCACGATATGCCGTAGCCTGCAGTAGCACAGTAGTGCTAACGTGCTAATGTTTTTGCTCCCCTCGGAGCCAGTGGCTGCATTCCCAATATGTTAAAAGGGGCGGGACATTTCCGAGAACCGTGCTGAGCGACTGACCAATTACGGCAGAGCCGTGAGGCGACCAATCAGATCAGACTTGGCACACGTGGGGACTCTGAACGTGGGCGCTTCAGAGCCTTAGAGAGAGAGTCAGAGAGTCAGAAGAGAGCCGGTGCACGGAGCGGCAGTTCATGAAAACAGACACTTTTTATAACTTTAGCTGAACAGACTTTAGTAGGTACATAGATGAAATATATGAACCCCAAAAAGGGCATAACATGGGCTCTTTACAAGTAACAAAGATGCTAGTACAGGTTCTTACGTCATAAAAACCATGAATATGCTCTGCTGAAATGTTTGATGTCATGAGGTGGATTTCCCATTTAACTCGTCCACTGATTGGTTCCTTATGTGTGAGTAAAATGAGCCGTTTAAGTCGTTGTTTTTCCATCACTGTGACTACAGACAGATGTGCAGTGGCTTACCTCCAGTGCACCTATCACATCGCAATTAACACACTATCGCTGACAGCCATGAAGGAAAGCTATTAATTACATTTAACACTCAACACAAAAGGTTGAATGAATGGTCTTAGTGCTGATCTGTAGCTCCGCCTCATGACAAGATGAATGACTGATCTGCCTTTATCACGAGGAGACATTAATCACTCATGACTTCCGTGCTGAAACAGGTGCTGCTTCTTAAACAGATGTCAAATTAGAATAAATGACAGACCCCGCAGAATTGAGAGCCGGGGGGGGGGGTCCAGAAAGTACTGCAGGTTTATATAACCTCATAAAAGCTGGAAATTTATTCTAACTTTGTGACACCGTTTTATATTCACTCACAGAAAAAAGCAATTTGCAGTAGCCAGACAAATTAAGCAGCATGCCATCATCACATTAATATTAGTACACTGCTGGCTAACACGGAGTTATTAGAAACCCTCAGTCTGCAGTCAATGGTCCTCGTGTCCCAGTGTCTCAGTTCATTGGGACCCCTGAGTGGATCGCTGTGTGCTCATTATCTGATTATTTAATCCTGTAGCAGTCAGCAGAGGTGGACAATCAATCACGTAGAGATATAACCTGTATCCTGCATCTGGTGAGAATAATCCCAGCACATGTAAACGCCTCTTTCATGTTTTCACACACACACACACACACACACACACACACACACACACACAACTTTTCTGAAATGTTCAGGGTGGGCTGCATGCACGTGTGAACACAAACAGCCTAAGTCTATTTCCTGCCAGTCTCCTCAATGTCCGCTTGAAGCTGGGAAGCCAATGTGTGCACATTATTACTCATGAGGAAGTGGGCCAGAGTGATATCGATCAACAGAAGCAATCATGGTGCACCGCTCTTTCTTTTCGGCTTGTTCATGGTACCAGTAACATGCTCAATTACATGAAGCAGTGAGATTAAGGCTGTCATTATTTCTGTTGGATTTTGCTGCTCATGCCATCTTGGATTCCTTCAGCCTTTTTTACATGTCATTGTTACGCGCCCGTCTGGGGGGGGCAGGTTTGTAACATAAAACCCGAAACCAGTTATTACCCCGGTCCCCCCAAACCAAAAGCAGAACTAATCTTGTGATTTAAACAAGGATTTATTTTAACACACAAATTCAAACACCTATCAAACAAAAGACAATCTCACAAGAAAAACACAATTTTCAGAGCTAACGAGACGAAAGAACAAGGCTTTAGAAACAAAATCAGTTTGGAGGCCGAGGGACAACAAGCTGCTGCTGTCACTTTAACACACGCTGCTCTTGCTGAGGATCCCAGCAAGCCGCAAAGAATTGCGACCAGACTCCCGACCAAAGGACGGCGGCGTCCTCCCTCCAGCTGATCAGCTCCTCCAGCGAATCCCCGATCTCCACCTGCAGTGGCATCAAAGATCCTCACACTCGCACACACACAGAGGTCTCACTCTCACACACACCGCAAGGCAATAAACACAATACGGCCAGGGCCGTAACACCCTCATTCCTGAGTGACAAACATTTCCAAAATGTTTGTCACTCAGGAAGGACAGTGGACACGAGACAGAGCGTCTGCGGTCATGTCTTCTTCCTAAGACTTCTTTCCGCCCCTGACAGACAAGCAGCCACACTCACTAGACACTAGGCCGTAGTCAAGACGAACGGGCCAAAGCGACCTGAGGAAGAGAAATATGTTTACCGACGAACTAATGCATCCGAGGATCATTTGCATGACATTTTTGACGTAACATCTGGTGTTTCCATGAAAACGGTAAACATGTTGTCTCTGTCATGGTGGCCGCTACGACAAGGCACCAGACGTTACTTCAAATAAAATGGCAGATTTCTCTGCTTTGATAACTGTTTGAAATATTTGAGGTAAAAGCAACATTTTCTAAAATAAAGAAATTACCATCCTTCAACAGATTCCTCGTTCCTTTTGGTTCAAAGATGATGCTTTTCAGCTGAAGGTATGTACGTGTATGAAAATCGACTTTTGATCGCTTCATTCACTTCTGCCTTCAGCTGGCAGCAGTTGTAAAAATCTTTCAAAGGACCAGAGAACGGACCTTGAGCAAGATGAACATTTTTTTCTTTAGAAATGAAAATGTATTAAATGTTTTGTGCTTTTGGAGGAATTTCACAACCTGACTCCAGAGCTATTTTCATATCATCCATGTCAGCAGAAACACTTTGCTTATCCTTAACTCTGAGGGTCACTGATCCTCACAGGGCAACTGTGGAACATTTTTCAAACATCCCTGAACAAGACACCAAGACCATAAATCCCTTTGAATGAGTGTGAGGTTTAAATGCATCAAACTCCTATTTCAAGGATAAAGGAACGTACCACACACCTTGAAAATAAGTCGTTGAGTTGAATCTAAAAAGCTACTTTTTGGTTTCTGAATGAAGCAGCAGCTTTTGAAAAATCCGGAGAAGAGCTGCCTCAGGGGTCTGAGAAGAACAAAACGCTTGTCCCAATTGAAAACTTTGTGAAAGAGTTTCGACAGAACAAGCGCAAGAGCGGTGCGTAGTCAGCCTGAATCCACATTTCCTAGTGTGGATTTGATAGTGAAACAGTCTGATAGGAACTCCCCATTGTTCAGACTGATGATTATTCTGAAATCCCCCAGTTGACTGGAAACATTTCCCAACGGAAGGTGGGAAAATATCATGTGATACAGTATGTAAATCATAAAGTTGAGCTCGCTGAGATAACAATTTATTGTCGGTTTGCAGAAATGTGTCTTGCATTCTCCTCTGTCGCCCCGGTGGTGGAATGAACTTCCAAACTCCATTCGATCTGCAGAGTCCCTCTGTACCTTTAAGAAAAAGCTAAAGACCCAGCTCTTTCATGAATACCTACTAACTTAATGATGATGGTCTCCATATTATTGATGATGATGATGGTAATGACGATGGTTTTTGTTTGATAACGATGATTTATAAGATGGTTTCTATACTGATTAGAGCTCTCAAGAACTGCCCTCAATGTTGTGCTTTGCCTCTGGTCACTTCCTGTCAGCACCTGTGTGTCCAATCAGACTCAAAGCTGATCGTTTGCTCTTACTGACATTGTTCCCTTTTTTCTAGATCCTTGCTTGTGTTGTTCTTACTCTCTGATGTACGTCGCTTTGGATAAAAGCTTCTGCTAAGAATTGTAGAATTGTAGAACTCCAAGCTCATAAAATCCCCACATCAAAATCACATCACATGTTAAAGACAGATCATAAAATAGAATATGTGTGGAATCACAGTGCATGAGCGGGAACATAAATAATGTAAGGAGATGGTGTATGAAAATGTGAAAGGGCTTGTAAGGAAAGTTTTCTTTGCTGAGAGATGAGATTCAGGGTGCACACACACACGAGGCTGGGATTTAATTCAGCTGAAGGAAGAACAGTCATAGTACAAGTACATAGTAGTATCACTCTTCCACAATGTGCAGCAGGAACAGAGTGTATTCTCTCGGAGCTTCACATCTAGAGATCACAAGTACCTAAGTGGTCAGAAGTACCTAAGCAAGTACGCTACGTATAGGGCTTTCACACTTGCAGAAATCTCCTTAAAAACTCCTGATATATCCAGGAGGAGCTGAAAGTATGACTGCATAGTCCATGTGTAGCGCAGGTCAGAGTAAGAGTGGGAATGAGTGGGGTGCGGTGTGACCTGCGTCGGCTCTACTGTTTGTTCAGCGGTG